TTCCTGGTTACTCTGATCTGTTGAGTACATGTTAGCAAGCTCTACAGGAATACTTGTAACTAAGAAACCTCAGTAACCACACCACCACCACCACCACCACACAAAAAAATCCCAACATGACCTCTTCGTGTGAAGCAAAACCCACACCTACCTGTGTTTTGAGTGCGATCTTTTCCTCCTAGAGCGGGACTTTGAGCTAGACCTGGATTCTGAACGAGAATGGGAACGAGATCGACCGCCTTTTCTTTCACTGCTCTTTCCAGACTCTGAGAGGAAAAAACCACTTTGCAGTGTAAGCTCAGAACATTTAAAGATCCCAGTTAACAATCTGGCACAAGTGGAATGTACCACATCTAGTGCAAGGGGCCTACTCTCTGCACATCTTCCTTCTTTGCAAATATCCTTCAGAAACATCCAAGAAAGTCATTGCATATACTCGTTGAGTGCAGCCATCCTGCAGCAGTACACATAAACCAGATAATTATAAACAGCTTAGCTCTACTAAGAATGGGATTTACGTTGCTGCCACAATGCATAAGATCATAACATGTCCTCCTCTTGGTCTACCATTTAATATAATTATTTTCTTTCTCTTTTTGTTAATAACCTGAGAAGAATAGAGTAAATTTAGGCATCATTTTGAAAACAAGCATAAACTATAAATAATATTTAGTACTTTCTATAGTTTAGGTATTTCACTGTACAAATATTGATGTTTTATGCCTCAAACATTGTTTTGTGGGAAGAAGGTAAGAACAGAGGAGCATGAAAAGTCTGATCCAAAGGCCTGGAGGTCAACAGAAACCGTAACAGTGACCTCACCAGACTATGGTTCAGACACCAAAAGATTGTTATTCTCTTGCTTAACAGTGATTAAATGCTAGAGCTATTTTTCTTCCAGCCTTAAAATATAACAGAAAATACTCACCTTCTCCCCCAAAAAAACCCTCAAGACTCCACACTGTCTAACCTACATAAGACAATATCCAGGTTTGTTAGTAAGAAGGATTGCAAAAAAGTTGCTGATGAAAAGAAGCAGAATCTCAACTGCAAGCTTAGGAAGTTGAGAATTGTTTCATGCTATGGTTCCACAAACAGTTTAAACCAGCATAAATTAGCACTGAAATGTCTGTCCAACCTCACACGCACCAACACCTTCCTCCTTGACTTGGCATCTCAGGGTTAGCAGGGAACAGGGAAGCAATCCGGATGAAAAAAAGTCCTTTATACAATATGTTAAATTTTATCCCAGATTCACTCTCTGATCCCATTTGCTAGGAAGATGCAAACAGTCTTGAGCCAGCATGATAAAGAGACAAAATTAACCTGCAGCAGACAAGGAAAGCCTAATACCACTGCTTTCAGAACCATGCTAGCTTGCTCTGATCACGAACTACAGCATTAATGGGTGCTAGAGGAGAACAAGACAAAGTATAAAGCCTTTTCTTCTGTTAAGTTTTGAAACACTCTAACCTTAAAAAGTGCCACCATTAAATAATGATTTAGTATTAACTTGTATTTTTTAACACATTCAATGAGCACAAGACATGATGAAATAAAAAGCTTCATTCCACTGCTTTGTTGCATGAACACAATTTTGATTATTTTCCTTTCTTCCCCCAACATATATTGTATACATTTGAGTACGTTTTCCTGCATTTGCAAATGCTCTTTAAAGTGTGTGTCAAGGCACATACAGAACGTGTCTCTTAGGTAATGAACACGACACACCTACCTGGCTCAATAGCAGCAGATATGAAAGACTGGGCTTCCCTTACTCTCTTCATCACTTCTTCCAGTTCCTTGGCAGCAGCTTGTGGTGTCATTTCAGGAGGCTTCACTATTGCATTATTGGAGTGATTTATTCTAAATCAAGGGAAAATAAAACTTTTAATTCTTAAACACTTGGAAAGGGAAAATGAAAAACAAGAAAGGAAAATGTCTCAACTTCCACACACAACTAAATGCTTCAAAGCCTAGCAAAGCTGCGGATTTGTGCTCACACTGATCTGTTCTAGGTATCTGAAATATCTTTTACTGCTTTCAAATCTGACCACTTTTAAATAAATGCAGCACACTATTTCTGTGTTAAAGTATTTTAAGTACAAATCTAGGAAGCTGTTTCTCTGTTTCAGATCAAATCTCTACATTAAGACCTGTTGATTTTCCTATCATTTCATGCAGAAAGCTTCATTAGTACTAAGGACTTTGCAGATTCTTTCACTGTTACAGCTTCCATTACCTCAAGATTAAATACAAATATATTTTCTTCAATGCTATCCACATTCTGAGAGAAATTTATGTCAAACCTTAGAATTGGAGGTGATAAAATGTTCTGGTTTGTTATCAATAGGTCTTCATATGGAATAAACACTAGTGACAGCACAGTGTGTGTGTCACAGCACATCAGTCTCATAGGTGTCTAAGGACACAAAGAAATCTCTCAATCATTGCACACACGGACAATCAATTTCTTACTTCAGTGGCCTGTCTCCAAACATAACTCCATTAAGGGCAAGTGCTCGAGGTACAGAGTTTTGGTCTGCAAACTCCACAAAAGCAAATCTCGTTGGCTGTGTCTCATCCCCTGCCATTCTCACAAACTTCACTTCTCCAACTTGCTTAAAGAACTCGAGCAGCTGATCTGCTGTAGTGGTCTGGAAAGAGTCCAAGAGCTCAGCTGAAGTAAAGTGCACAACAAAAACCACTTATCCAACATAACAGGCAGTCTAAGAGCTACAGGCTTTGGAATGGTATCTCACCATGACTGCGCAGGTGATATAAAGTTGGTAATGTTACACTTTTAGAAAGACAAGGTGCTTTCAATTCCATTATAATAAAATAGTAAAGTGTTAAGGGGTTGGAATGGACCTTAAAGATCACCCACTCCCAACCCCCTGCCCTGGGCAGGGACACCTCCCACCAGACCAGGTTGCTCAAGGCTTTGTCCAACCTGGCTCTGAACACTGCCAAGGTTGAGGCATCCACCTGGGCAACCTGTGCCAGTGTCTTAATCTCAAGAATATTCTACAATTTAACCAGTGCAGCTGCAAACCCTTAGTCCTTCACCTAAGTTAAAACCCCCAACATTTGTACTGAATTTTGACCTTTTCAGGCAACTCATTTGAAATAACTGATGATGAATTTCCTTATCCCCCTGTATCCAATCTATTGATTGTGACTTTTGATCGATTAAAAGAACAATACTTGAAGCCTTAGCTTTATCTGGATTTCTACTAGCTTCCACTTTGTTTTATCTTATCACAACCAATAACACTTTTACACTCTAGTAGCTACTCTGGCAGTCAAAAATACCCAAAATTTCATCCTTACATTGCTATCAGCCACAAGCAAATCTTTTTCAATGAACCCAATCAATTCCTGAGAAAGCAAGTTGCTAACAGACCTAACTTTCCTGTTCTAGAAAATTCAAAGGTATTTATACTAACTTTACAACTTCCACTAGGATACATCATTCCATCTTAAGCAGCTGCACAGTGCTGTGGGGGACAGCTACCATAATCTTCTGACTTCTGAGGCACTGCACATCTAGCTCAACCCAACTGTACAGATTCGGTCAACACACACAACCATAAGTGTGTTTCTTGAATATGATTAGCACAGGAGCATTCAAAATACAAACCATCATGAACAAGCAACAAAATCTAGGGATTTTTGTTTAAATCCATGTTGTCATCAACTAACAAAAACTCTTAAATACGTAAAATCAGAATTCATAAATTAGGACTTCACACCTTCCATTAGTTTTTCCATCACACACACACCAAAAAAAAGCTACCTGGGAATTCAAGTTTCCAACATAGACTGTTCTCCTGATTTCATCAATTTTGGATGGATCCACATTCCCCATAATTGGTGGCTGCGGTATTTCTCCAAGTGCTGTAATGTTAGGGTCCAAAGCTGCTGCTGGTATAGCCCCTAAAGTGCCAAGTGAAACACCAAGCTGGAAAACACAAAAAACAGGACGCACTTTGCAACCAAGCACTGTCGAGAAATATTTCACTTCTTAATATTTGCCTGCCTTGTGCATTTCTGTAAAAACAGATCTAATGAATATAGGCAATACTTTGAACTTCAAGGCTGTAGTACAGCACCTAGTTTTACAGAACAAAACCCTACCCATAAATAACCTTCAATAACTAACGTTTTCTGTGGATTATCGATTAACATCTTACCAAAGAGGTCTGGTCAGGGATATATGTGCAGTGTATCAATCACAAAACACACAGGCTTGGATTTATAATGCTTGGAGTCAATCAAATTGAGTAAGCCCTTCAGACACTGATAATGTTCTAATTTTTTTAACGCAACAAGTACCTGAACTCGGGTGATAAAGAGCTGAGACCTTGCCCAGCAAGAAGAGAAGGGAATTTGCAGTGCCCAGGGTCAATAGGTATCAATCCATCAAAGGGACCATTTGGACAAATAAAAGTTAAGCCAAGATTAATTACCGTTGAAATGCAAAGGATATTAAGTTCTTTTCCTCATTCCTAGAAAATGAGGACAATACATCTCTCATGTTTGGAACTGGAAATTGAAATCTCTGCTGGAGAATGTCATACACAAGTCACTTAAAAATCACTACAAAATTGGCCTGCTGAGTTCCTGGCTTGAATTTTATTTTCTCTACTCAAAAACGCAACTGCCTTTCCAGCAAGCAGATTTTCTAACAAGTGTGGGAGGTTCATAACAAGCCACCAGTCATTTATTACATGTAACAAAAGAAATGAGTACTCTATTTTAACTTGAAATGTTCCCTGAGTAGACCACAGCATCTTGGTGATGTCCAGAAAGGCTTACAGTGGAAAAAGGGAACTGAACAGAAGCAGTAGCAGAAAGCTCCTATGCTTTTTGTGGTAAAAACATTGTCAGACAAACAGTCAGAAACCATGTCCTAGAGCTATCGTGAGTCAAAGCACCTTACTGCAGCATTTTAATGCTCTAAAGAACAGTGGCAATGTAATTATTATGCTTTAATAACTTTGCAGAAGGTGGATATTTCAGCTACTGGACCAAATTAATGGCTCTAGGGCAGGACAATTAAAACAGGCAACAACCAAGCCCAGTATTTACCCACTGTTTTCAAAATAATAACCCGAAAGAAAAACCCAGGGAAGGCAGTGCATGGACATCTGATCAGTCCTCAGAAGGGGTACCACAGCTAAAACCCTCACTGCAGCATCCATGGATCAAATGGGTCTTGTTCTCTGAACATGGAAAAGGCTACTGAGGAAACCAGAAATCAAACAGGGACTGAATTTTACTTACTGTAGTCAAAGGGGTTGGTGTAGGTATAGGCAGCAACCCTGCACCAGGCATCAGGCTTGTCATAGTAGGAGCAGGCGCCAACAGAGAAAGAGCTTTGGCTTCATCTGGGATTTTACCTGAAGAAGCAAATGAAAGCATTACACAGGGTTGGAACCCCACACAGACGTTACTCTATGACTTTACAATTACCCTTGCATTTAAAAATGTAATAAATAACAACGAATCTATCTACCAGATCCTTACAAAGAAACAAACAAGAACTTAAGTATTTTCCTTTTACCCTGCCTCTACCAGGAAAAAAAAACACAAAAGTGAGCAAAATTTCAAAGACTAGCAATCTCATTAATGGATTATTTATTTTAAAAACTGAATAATGTATACAATTATTTAACACTTGGAGCTATGGGTCACCTGTACTGGAAACTTAATGTTCATGAACCAAACGATATCAAGCATGGACGCTTTCCCAGGGCGGAGTTTTCGCGGTGATCGAAAGTTGTGTTACACATGACAACCGTTCGTGTTGGCTGCATCACTAATAGCACACAGAACATCAGATACAGAAAAGAAGAACATTTTTTAAAGTTTAATCCCCAGAAATGGCAAATAACCAAATCAGTAAAAGAAAGAAAAAAAGAAAAGAAAAAAAAAAAAAAAAAAAGAAAAAAAGGGAGGGGAAAAAACCCAAGGTATGCGCTAACTGAAATTTGTGCTTTTCTTTATGCCTCTGGTGTTACCTAGTAAGGATGTGGAAATAAATGAAAAGTAAAATAAAAAGCTACTGAACTACTGTGACTGCACACAATACATAACTACAAGTGAAGTTAAGGGTAGAGGAGGAAGAGCGGGAAAAATTTAGGTTTGTACTGTCTCACACTCTAGTTCACCTCAGTTTATCTGAAACTTTGATAAATGAGATTTAAATCTACTGAGATTGTGGAAAATCATAAATGATCAGCTGAGAAATATGTATTTCCTGCTATTTCAACCTGATTAAATTGTTCCTGGCATGCTTAAAACGTTACCCAAATTAGATTACTAAAGGAACTCCCCAAAAGCATGAAAAATCAAAAGATTTAAGAGTCAAACAATTCTGATTACAATCAAATGCACATTTTAAATTTGAAACGCAAAGGGATTTCTACTGATACAAACTAAAAAACTAGGGAAGGAAGTTCTAATTGTATTAGGCATTTATGACATGTTCAAAATTCCTAGCGTGATTGTATATATTCTCTCCAACTGAACCCTCTGGCATTACCCCATGGACCTTAATAAAGTAAATGCTCTTACTTAAACGTTATTTTAATAATCAAGGACCACAGAAAAGCTGTGCCAGTGGCTTTTACTGCTTTGATTCAAACAGTATATGCTTCAACTAGAAAACCTCCAAATTCAGGACTTAAAAGTGGATATATAAATATTCTCATCAAGAAGCAAAGCATGAGGTAAGTGTCAAAACACTGCAGTTTCAGCTAGGTGAGTTCCAACTGACCCCACAGAAAACTTACTACTCTTAAAAAGAATTAAAAGCAGAAAGTGTTACAAGCCTGTTCTACAGATCTGCAGGAAGGACTGGGTTACAGTTGGGTATGACCAAAGGACAAAACAAATCTAAATGAAACTTAATTTATATGTAGCATGGGTGGAACACAAAAGATAAAATAACAGTACCCATTAATTTTTTTCATGCTTCCTATTTACATTTTTTTAATGTATGTTAAATTTGGAGACACCTTGCTCCTTAACATGTAAGGAACCACTTGATTTTGCTATCTAAAGGAGAAAAATAGGAAAGTTATTAGCACTCAAGAATTAGCTGTGCAATAATGACTTCCAGGGCTGTTGTAAAAAACATGCATGAGTCTAAGCCACCATCACAATGTTCAGCACTCTCCACAGATCTCATTTGGAAGTCAGGCATGCAATGAAAGGTGTACCTGATCTGCCTGACTCCTCCACAGTGTCAGGAACTTTCCTGCCTAGCATGTAGCCAACTAACAGTCTGTTGAATATACAGTTCCAGCAGCTGTGCATGCAAATTAGGCATAGAATTATGTAAAGTTCTTCTGAAAATCTAAATACTTGAGTGTCTTCAAGTGACTAATGAACGAGAACTCATCCTGAAGAGTGAGCGCACTGCAATTAAACAGATACTCATGCTGGTTTTTATGGGTCAACAGACATGGCACAGGTAAATCCAGTGGCAGAAATGGCTCCTCAAGTGGTGTGTCTGCACCACTGATTAGCGGCCAAATTAGATCCTGGGTCAGTGATGTACATAAGTATATGCCTAATTTAAGTATGCAGTTACATACAGCCAATTCAATACACACTTAACCAGGTAAACTTACAAAATGCTTAGGCATTTAGCCCCCATTAAATAGGAACTCAGGCACATAACTATGATGGACAATGAGTCAAGCTCAGAGAGGGACTTGAATAGAAGCCTAAACTATGATCACAGTACTGAAATAGCTGGAATTATTAATTTGCTCAAATGTTGTTCAAGGAATCCATGAACACTTTCAGTTAAGTTTGCCACTACAGCAGCTCAAAGAATGAATAACATGCATATGTAAAATGTAAAGTTTGCAGCATTATTTCCAGTACTATTATTACTTGGGTCCTTCAACAATGCAATGTTCCAGCTTGAATACAAAACCTGGTTGGCCAGTTCCATGCCACAAAGAAAGATTCATTTATTTTGTTTTCAAGAATGAGAATTCTGTCTATCTCTACAGACAGAACTCTGAAAATCTGCCTGTATATTCAAAGATGCTGTCTTTTCAAAATGCCCTTGGCCAGTTTCAAGCTTAGGTCAAACTTGTTAAAAATTCTACCAAACCCTGTTGTGGGGGGGAAAAAAAGAAAACCTGCAATATCCTGAAAATCTACTTCCCTGATCTTTAAACAGTTTAAAAAAAACAAATTAATATGTGAGGCCAAATAACCTCATGAGTTAAGAGGCTTTAAAATTCTGGAGTTTTATCTCCATTAATTTATGTACAAAAGGAACACAAACCCACAAAAATGCAAAACATGTAGGTTATGTTACAAGAGATTAGGACAATTTAGTTTAAGAGTAACAATTCCACTTTTAAAACATGGTATTTAAAGGCTGAATGGGAATGAGGTGAAGATAATCATTTTCTAAAGAGGGGAACAGATAACTACGCCACATCTATATCACATCCTTACAACGATTTCTTAGAAGCTCTTCTGCTTTGTAAATTACAGGTTCTACAATCATTTATCTATTGATTCTTCACTTTGCAAAGGAATCTGGAAGCAGATGTAGATTAGCTCAGCATTGCCTAGAGACACCTTATGCTTCTTAGGGAAAGCAGAGTTGTACTAAATATCAGTTGTGATTGTGACTTTTTTGTATCAAAGTCTTAAGAGCCAATCTAGTCCATAACAGAATCCATTTTGCTAAAGGCTGAACAGAAGAATCTGCATTAAGCAAGTACAAATCACAGCGATTTTATCCCTCACGTGCTCAGAAGAAATTAATTTCCAACTTTGCAGTGGAACTACATGGCTAATCCTCACCCCCAAAACTGCTTCTGCAGCAAGTGAGTTTGCTTGTTTTAAAAATACTGCACAGTTCACATCTACTCTGAACACAGTAAGAGTTTATTACTGCCCTGCTATTTTAAAACAAGGGAACATGTACAATTACAAATAAAATAATTTGTGTGATCCAACTCATGAATCTTAGTGGATTTAGCAGCAGTGAATAAAGAGATTACAGCTACTGGCAATTATAACTGGCACACCTAAATCCAACAAAGATCAGGAAGCAAAGCTCTTCCCAGTGCAGTGCAGTGCACTGCCAGAGTGAAACCAGTAGATACCAGGGCAGCTGGTTGGGAAGGGCAATGCCTGAGGCCTAGACACACCACCTTGTCCACCACTTCTGTTTCAGGGCTTCCATTTCACAAGGAAGAACATCCTTTAGGGATGAGAACCATCTCAATCACTCCAGCATGAACTGCCAGGGCTTCCGAGACTCTTGAGATGAGCAAGAAGACTCTTTTTTTTCCTCTTTTCTTTTTTTAAACCTCTTCTTGAAATAGTCACCACTGGAGCATGTCAAAGTGCAGTACATACACACACACATACATACATACACACACACACGCACGCACACAGAGAGAACTGATTCAATCTTCCCACAAATAACAGCGTTAAAAGACAATGTGTCTCACATAACACATCTCAACCAAAACTTCAGGCTGCATTTGTACTTATGAGTGGTAAACAGGTTTATTTTCTGAAAATTACAGAAACAGAAGGATGAAATCTTACTGCCACTGACCTCTCTGCAGCAAGGTTTCATCAGAAGCAAACAAGAACTTCATGACATTCAAACAGAAGCTAAATTTAAGAAATATTTATTTTAAGCTCATCATGGTAGCGATATATAGCAATTCTTCTTTTAAACAGAAGATGCAAGCTAAAATAGAAGACTCTGCTGAGCAAAACCAGCAGAAAAATATCATGACTTTATTTTCTAAAGTTAATTTCTCCAGACGTAGAAGTCTCAGCTGCCCTTTTCCAAGATAATCTCATAAAGTGCAACATATACAAGAATGTGTCTCAAAATTGGTGTATTTTTCACTATATCCTGTCTTCTGTGCTTATCTGTTGAATTTAGATGCTTAAAGGTATTCCAAATCAAACTGATCCTTAATTCACAGCATGAAAAAATCAATCATATTCTGAAATCCTGCGTATACCATCTACCATTCATAAGCAGCTTCAGGTCAACTTGGAAATCAAAACACTGTGAACCCTTTTACAAACATCATTTTTA